GCTGCGGCAGAAGGGTTATGAGTTCAAGGCCGGCCTGGGCCACATAGTGAGACCCTATCTTTAAAAAACAATAATAATATCACCAAAAACACTGTAGCTGCTAAGTGTTTGTGTGTGTGTAAGTAGAGTACATTGTGCTAAAAATCACCTAAGGACTTAAGCAATGTATGATTTTTTCTTTTTTTTTTTTTTGAGACAGGGTCTCCCTGTGCAGTTCAGTCTGGCCTTGAACTCACTACGTAGCCGAGGCTGGCCTGCCTCAGCCTCCCAAGTGCTGGGTAATGGTGGGCACACCGTGCCCGGCTAGGCAATACAAGATTCTACTTTCAGCCAGATAACAGACACCACACAGTAGCTTTTGAGATGAGCTGATTTGAACAACTGCTGCTCCCATGGAATGCAGCGTCTTCACAGTCAAGGACTGAATCTTGTCCTCTTTCCAGTCCCCGGCTCCAACCATGAATGGTTTAGGAGCAGTGTGTGTTGTCTGATCCGGGCGAGTGGCTCCCAGCCAGCCCTGTGTATTTACTGGGATGGCATGGAGAGCCCAGAGCTGAGGTGCCGAGCTCAGCTGTCTCCCAGCTCTGCTCCAGCCCAACCTTGAGGCCGAGCTCAGAAATGGCCCAAGGCGCCCAGGGGGCCGGGTGACCTGAAAGCACCCAGCAGGGAACCCCTTCCTCCCGGTGCCTGTGCTACAGCTGTGGGGGAGAATCCAGTTTTAGCATGAATGCCGCCAGCACAGAGATGGGTAGGGGAAGCCAACTCCTGGTGTTACGTCTGAGTCCGGAGGTATGGAAGCTGCCCACACCTGGCTCCGGGGACTTTTTCCATGACATAAATGCCAAATGTTTTGCTTTGTTTGTTTTTGCTGAAACCAGTTTGAAATGAATTTATGACACTTACAAGGGACAGAATCATGTTATTCTTTCATTCATCCATTCATCCAGCAAGAGCTTATTAACCAGACATGGTAAAGAGGGCCTGTAATCCCACCACTTAGGAGGCTGAGGCAGGAGGGTTCTGAGTTTAAGGCCAACCTGGGCTACATAGTGAGTTCAGCCTAAACCACACAGTGACTCCCTGTCTCAAAAAACCAACCGACTGACAAACACCACGAGTGTTGTAGACAGAAAGTTCTGTGTGAGGTCTGAGAGGCGGGTAGTTAATGTGACGAAAATCCAGCTGACGAAGTTGGTTTAAGAGTCTAGGTGGCCAGGCAGGTGGGTGCACAGCTGTAATCCCAGCACTCCGGGAAGCTGAGGCAGGAGCCTCAAAAGCGCAAGCCCAGCCTGGGCAATTTAGAGACTTAGCAATAGCCTTCTCAAAATAAAAACAATAACCAAAATTACCTGGAGACGTAGGTCATTGCAAAGGCCCTGCATTCAATTCCCAGTAATGGGGAGAGAGGGAGAGAGAGAGAGAGAGAGAGAGAGAGACAGACAGAGACAGAGACAGAAGTGAGAAGGACGTCCCCAAAAGGAAGACCAGGCTGGGCAAAGCCCAAAGGCCTGAAAGCGCATGGAGATTCCCACCTTGATGCTCCCTGCAGAGCATAAAAACCAGGACAAGGATGGAATTCTTAGGGGCCTGTGAGCAACACCTCGGAGTTCAGCCTTTTGGTTAAAAGAAGGCATTTAATCTGCAGAACATGTTTGCTTTAAAAAAATTTTTTTGTAGGTATTCCTTGACTTACAGTGGGATTGCATACAGATAAACCCATTGGAAATAGAAAATGCAGTGGTGCCTCGGTTCATGAACTCTTTTGTTTGCGAGCAATTCGGTTCACAAACAGAAATGTTGTCACAAATTTGTGTTTTTGCTTGTGAACTCTGCATCAGGTGGCAACATAACCACAGCCATCATTCCTGTGTGAACACAAACATGCCCATCTTCTCCAGAATCATGGAGGAATTAAGTTCATGGACAAAGGTACCACCGTATCACAAGTTGAGTTGGTGCAACACGTGGTGGCACACGCCTGTAATCCCAACACTCGGGAGGCTGAGGCAGGAGGATCGCTGTGAGTTGGAGACCAGCCTGGGCTACATAGTGAGTTCCAGGTCAGTCTCAACTACCCAGTGAGACCCTGTCTCAAAAAAACCAAAAAGAAAAAAAGAAACAGTTGGTTTTGGAGTGCATGCCTGGAATTTTAGTACTCATGAAGCTGAGGCAGGGGGATCTTGAGTTTAAGGCCAGCTTGAGCAACTTGGCAAGACCTTGTCTCAAATTTTTATTTATTTATTTATTCATTTTTATTTGAGACAGGATCTCATTATGTAGCCCAAGCTGGCCTTGAATTTGAAATGATCCTTCTGCCTCAGCCTCCCAAATGCTTGGCTTCAAAATTTAAAAAATGGTTCTGCCACCTGCCTCACAAACGCAAGGTCCAGAGGGCCCAGATCCCCGGTACCAAAATAAATAAATAAGTAAATTAAAATTTAAAAAGCTGGGGATGTTGCTCAATCCAAAGACCCTGGGTTCAGTCCCCAGTACGGTTAAAATAAAAATACACCTAACCCAGTGGACACTGTAGCTTAGCGTAGTCTTCCTTAGAATATTTGCACTAACCCACACCTGGCCCAAATCAGCCCTACTTTATCACAGCGTGCGCATCCTGGGCAGCTCCTGGCATCCGCCGCTGCCCTCCTAACTGTGCCGCCAGGCAGAATGGGAGCACCAGACAGTCCCCAGCTCAGGGTTCGGCTCCCACATAGCATGCAGCTCCCACGCCATCATAAAGCTGAACCAGTGCGGGACGGTGTGTTTCTATGTGAGTCTGCAGCAGTGACTGCATGATCAGAGCAAACCCGGGCCGGGTCGAAGGCTGCAGCCCGCGGCTTGGTACAGGACCTGACCCGTGGGAAGGACTTGGGCCTGCAGGCTCGCAGGGCAGGCTGGCCTGGTTTGTGTGAGGCCTTGGTTCCGTCCCAGCAAGCAAAGAAAAGCCCAGATGTGGGCCTAGATGGTGCCCTAGAGATCTGGGAACTCAGTCCGTCCCTCCCAGCTGGAAGGCGGCGTCTCGGTCCACGGCTTCTGCAGGCGGCCAACTCTGGGGCCGGGCACCGGTGTCAGCTCCTTGGGGTGGGAGCCAGGCCCTCCTTGGGGAACCAGCCCTTGAGTGGCACCAGGGTGGCAAAGGAAACTTGTGGCCCAGGAGGACGGCGCTCCTGTCTGGGGAACCACCCCACACGTGGCCATCCTTCCTCAGGGGACCCAAAGCAGGCAGAAAGCCAGGGTGACCTGATGGCTGTCCCTGGCCAAGCCTGCGGCCGGCGCAGTGTCCCTTTGTCCTTTTCCCGTCCATCACCAAGGTGGTGATTCTGGGGCCCTGACAGACTGCACGCCAGGATGTCTGCCTTCTAATCACACTCTGCCCCTTTCAGCTGTGTGACCTTAGATAAGGTCTGTTTTGAGACAGGGTCTGACAATGCAGCCCAGGCTGATGAACTGTCTGCAACCCTCCTGCCTCAGCCTCCTCAGGGTTGGGATTACAGGCCTGTGCCACCTCGGGTGGTTTGAAATCCCAAACAGGTATATTACCAAGTGTGTTCTTCCCGCTCTGAAGCCCCCCGAGTAGCCACCTTCAGAGAACACGAAGGACACAGATGCTTTTAGAAAAGCGGGTTTATTGGTCGGGCTGCTCAGGCCACAGCTCAGGCCCCCTCGGCCCCTCAGCACCAGGGGACCGCGTCCCCGCCCTCCAACCACTCAGGGCCAAGGAGGAAGCCAAGAGAGAAAGACAAGAAGGAAAAAGCTAAGCTTCATGTGTATAAAAGTTTCGTGTCCCCAGCACCCCCCTCCCCCCAGCATTCAGCTGTGACCCTAAAAAGCAGGGCGTGAAAGAACAGGAGGGGCTCGGCCCGCCCCGGAACCCCACCTTCCCACGGGCCTTGCTGAGCCAGAGGCGAAGGGCCGCAGACGGCAGCGGCCCCCACGTTTCCGGGCAGGTACCCCAAGGTGGCCGGGAGGGCAGGGTCGGCTCCCCCTGGGCCAGGCCAGCCCTCCCCGCTGCCCCTCTGGCCCTGTTCCCGGCCAGGTCCCCCTCGCCGTCCCGGAGCGCGCTGCGTCCCTGCCTCCCGGGACCCAGGTGCCGAGACCCTCCGCCCGGGGAGCAGGAGCCCCGACGGGGGCCAAGTGAGGACCCCGCTGGGGAAGACAAGGGCAGGGCCCGCTCCCTTCCCTGTCCCACCCACGCTGCGCCCACACGGGGCGGCCTTTTCCCCCCTACTTTTTGGTGCTGTACGGGGGACCGAAGCCAGGGCCTCCCCACTGCGCCCCACCCCCAGCGCTTTCTTGAAACAGGGCCTCGCCAATTCACTACGCTGCCCAGGCTGCGCGGGAACTCGGCGATCATCCCGCCTCAGCCTCCCAGGGGAGGTGTTTCGGAAACTTCTCAGCCAGGCCGGGGGCGGGCAGAGAAAGAGCGAGAGAATGCGACAGAGCAAGCGGGCAGGGGCCGGCAGGCGGGGTTCAGTCGCTGTCGCTTCTGTCCACCAGCACGGCGTCCGACTCCTCGGTGATCTCCAGCAGCGCGTGCACGTCGGGGCTGCTGGCGCGCAGCAGGTCGCCGGCGTCGCTGCGCT